CTGTCTCTCTGCACATCGACGGACGCTCCGATTGGCTGAACTGTCTCACTGCACATCGACGGACACTCAGATTAGCAGAACTGTCTCTCTGCACACCAACAGACGCTCTGATTGGCTGAACTGTCTCACTGCACATCGACGGACGCTCTGATTGGCTGAACTGTCTCTCTGCACACCAACAGACGCTCTGATTGGCTGAACTGTCTCACTGCACATCGATGGACGCTCCGATTGGACGACATTTACAGAATTGAAAAACAAGAGACTTGCTCATCAATTATGAACGCACCTGTCAGACAGAGCTGAGGGCCAAATCAATAATTGATGCTTGACCTGAAATCAGCTGAGCTGAATAAATTAGACAAAAACAACATGACACACCCTGTGAGCTGATTGGTCACTGTGTCACCATAGCAACAGATGGCAGACTTTAAATTTTACCAAATTTCCTTGTCATCACTTGCATCAAGATGAAAAACACAAGAAGATGAAAACAGAAAGAAAGAAGCCAAACTTGGATCTGAAACATTCAGTGAGGAAGTGACAAAACCACAATCAGTTTTCTCCCATCCGCCCAAAAACGGTTTGTCCTCTTTACGCAGCCGCTTTTCAAATCTTGCTCGGCGATCTGCACGAAGGGTAGCTTTCCTAAAAGGAATGCATGTCACCAAACAACAAACAAATAAACAAACAAACAGCGCGGACACTAACAGTTAAATGTTTTACCCAGTGATGTTGTGCAACGTGTAGCACAATGTGTTGAAATAAGCCACCAGATCTGTCAAGATCAGACTAAACTTCCTGAAGGTGACGTTTGGACCATGTCTCGACAACAGGAAGTTAAAATAAAGTTTCTTCAGAAACAATAAATACGGTTGTTTCATGAGTTTTTGCAAAAAGATGCTTTTGGCTGCAAGATGACGTCTAAATATTTATTACTCGTTTAGTTTGAGCTACTTGACGTGTTGAATGACGTGTCCAGATATAGAGGCTAAATTTAAAATGTTACAAATGATCGTTTTTTAATTTAACATATATATATATATATATATATATATATATATATATATATATATAAATGTCCCTGACAACTTGAAGGCTAACAACAATGCTAACCCAGTCCCATTTGGTCTCGTACTCTGTGCAGGGTTGGTTTACTATTTGTATGTGCACGTGTAGTTCACCTGTGCAGACGCGTTCACCTGTGCAGACGCGTTCACCTGTGCAGGCGTCACCACCTGTGCAGGTGCGTTCACCTGTGCAGGTGCGTTCACCTGTGCAGGTGCGTTCACCTGTGCAGGCGTCACCACCTGTGCAGGCGCGTTCACCTGTGCAGGTGTTGTTGAGCGTGACACTGACACTCTTGATTCTCTTCAGGTTCGTTTATTGCGGTTTTTGGCTGCTAACAGTTTCATAATAACAAAGATTTTCTTAAACTTGTGATTCTGGAAGAAACAGAAGCAGCAGTGTTCAGGTGCGACATCGCTCACCTGCCTCCACTGGAGCAGGGGGCGGAGTCAGAATAAAGGTGGGAAGGGGGAGAAGAATACAGATCATCACTTATAAATCAAAGATTATTTTTCCTCTACAACAACAACGATGATAATTATGATGATGTGCAACTTTAACAAAACTTTAAAATAATTAATAGTGTTTTTTTTTCCAGAGTGAGACCTCTTGTCTTTTAGGAATTAGCCACAGTTAGCTCAGCGGCTAACAGGCGCTGAAGCTTAACGAAAAGTTTTTTTTTAATACAGAAGGTGAAGAAATGAGAGTGACTGGTCCCATAGTCATTCTGGATAACACAGCGGGCATCAGTAAAAGGAAGAGGAGGGGTTAAAACCAGAGGGCGGGGCTTCCCAGCAGGTAAAATCCATCAGAATAAAAGCAGCAGTAATCTCAAACTCACTCCGTCACAATAAAATCCTTAAAGTAAAAGTTAAAACTCTCAGTTTTCAGCCTGATTTGTTCATAAAGCACACCCCTCTCAACTCAAGTCTGAGGGGGCGGGGCTTAAAGTGTGTGCAGGGGGGCGGGCTCAGGGTTCAGTGTCCAGTCCGTCCAAGGTGAGCTGGCTGCGGTGGGGGGAGTTGGGGCTTGGGGGGCCGCTGGGGTTGGAGCTATTGGAGGGGGTTGAGTGCTTGGTGGAGTCCGAGTCCGGCTGAGTGAGAGACACCGTGGAGAGAGAGAGAGAGAGAGACTCAGTAGAATCAGAACTGATTAATGACGCAGGTTTACAAAGGATCCTGAGCGTTACCTCTCGGTCCAAGTCGTGGTCTAGTTCATCTCTGCGGATTGAAGCTCCTCCCCCAAAATCTGAACCAGTAAACACAGAGATGGACCCACATGAACTGACTGCAGCACACCTGTCTGACACAGGTGGTCCACGTGCTGCACGGGGCTTACCTGAAGCCGTGCGAGTGATGAGAGACTTGCTTTTGTGTTGCCTGGAGATGCTGGACAGTGGGCGGGGCCTATCTTTGATGGGGTCATCCTGAGAGGAGTGCATCACACTCTGAACACAAACAAGATGGAGCCAAATGTTACTTCGATTTTACTAAAACATTTGAGAAAACTGACGCCTTAATACAAATTTTTACTTTAGGTTTTCATGAAATTATTTTAAAACTCTGCTATCAGCTTGTACTTTGTATTTTACTTTGTAAGTTGTAGTTTTGTCAATAATTTGTTAAATTTAATGTAGCTCATAAAACCAAAACTGAACCAAGAAAATGGTTCGTTTCTGTTTAAAGAGCTAAAATCGTGTTCTCGTGTGAGTCTCTTGTAAACGAGCCCCCGAGGCTCAGTGGGATTAACCTGCAGAAATAAAGGTTGAACGCTGATCCATTTTTCTTTCCATCATTTTTCTGCTCAATTCTCGTCCCGCAGTTTTCAGCTGTTTCAACAAATCATGAATCAAAACGTTCGGCTCTTTCAGGACAATCTTGCTCTGACTTTTGGTGCTGGTGCAACTTTAGCTGTTTGAAATATTTAGCCTTTTCTGCCATTTTCTCTCATAGAAAATGAACTGAGCTCATGTTCCATCCTTCAAATCTTTAGACGTGTTTACAACCTTTTACTGCTCCTTTCACATTTTGTTCTGCTTCAGCTTCTTTTAGCTTCTTTGTGCAAATTTAAACTTTTTTCAGCTACTTTCAGCTGTTTTGTGCTCCTTTAAGATTCTTTCTGCTAACTATAAATTTTTTGTGCTTCTTCTAACTTCTTTCTGATAATTTCAGCTTATTTCTGCAAGTTTTAGCTTTTTCAGCTATTTCAGCTACAATTTAGCAGTTTTACGCTTTTCGAGTCCGTTTTGTGCTGAACGTCAGTGGATGAAGACGCACACGCAGCGTTTAGTCACAGGAAACTGTTGTGGTTCCGCTGGAGGAGTTTTCACCTCAGTTTACACCCGAGGAGCATCGTTGCACTGCAGCGTTTGATTCAGAACAGTAGCTAAAGGCTAAGATTCTCAACTGTTGCTAAAACAAAACATGCTACTATCAGCAAAACAGATGCTAATAACATAACTGCAGCTAATAGTAGCAACAAAATCAGCAAAAAAGCAGGAATGACCAAAAGCTTAGCTAAATCTAAAAGCAGCAATTTTGAAGCTAAAGGCTAAAGGTAGCAGAATCTAGGCTAAAAGTTAAAAATAGCTAAAGGCTTAAAGCAGCATAAAATAAAAGAAGTACGCTGAAGCAAACATCAAACGTGGTTTTAAAGTAATTAAAGTAATTTTCGTTTCTATGGGGAATTTCATTTTAAATAAAATATTTAAACATGTATAAAAAGTTTTTTAAAAACTGCAACATTTCTACATGAGCTGAACGTTTCGCTAAACGGGTCGTTAAAAAAAGCAGAAAGTACGTGGAGGTAGTTAGAGACTGCAAAGAACGTACGGAAGAAACTTTAAACGGTAAAACAACATTATCAATACATATTAATAAAGGTTAACTAAATAAGAAATGAATTGATTATTAAGATGATGGACTGGCTGGTTTGTGTCTTTACTTACTGGGAGCACAAAGTTTAGTTTTCTGAGCACGCTCACATGCACAGCTGCAGAGTCTGTGAACGCTGCGGCAGACCTCACAACCATCGTCAAACGTTATTAATCAGTGAACGCACCACGACGATGCGTTCAAGTCCCATTTCAATTCTGAGCTTCCTACAGTTCATTACGTGAGCTGCCGCAGCCTCCACCTGGACATCCGACCCCTGAGGGAGGAGGAGAGTGGGAGGAGGAGGAGGAGAAAGACAGCAGCTGGCCTACCCTTCCCAAAGAGGAGATGGAGGGAGAAGAGGAGGAGGAGGAAGGCTGCAGGAGGCTCTGCTGGGAGGAGGAGGAGGAAGAGGAGGTCTCTTTCTGCAAGAAGGCGCCGGCCGATGCCGACGTCATGTGATAGATGTGCTCAAAGTTGGAGGGGGGAGAGATGAGGGTGTGACGGGAGGAGGAGGAGGAAGAGGAGGGAGAGGGAGATGGGGAGGATGAGAAGGAGGTGAGATCACCAACCTGAACATCAGAGAGGAGAGGGTGAGGAAGGAGAGAAGAGAGGAGGAGTCAGTGTGATGAACAGAGCTGCTCAGGGAGGAGGTGAGGGAGGAGAACATGCCGGCAGGAGGAGGAGGAGGAGGAGCAGGGAGGAGGAGTTACCAGAGGGAGGTCCATCAGAACCTGCATCCCGTCTCCTGGTCCCATGTGAGCCACGTGGTTAAAGTTTGTAGGATTAGAAATCATTCGAGACCGGTACTCTGGATCCTTCAGCTTCTCCCTGACGACAAACAAACAGCAGGTAAACAACAACAACAACAGGACAACAAACATCAGAGATAAATACACAACAGA